GTACTAGCTCAGCCCATTTCCCAACACGCTGGAAATCAAACCATCCTGCGGTACAGTCCGCACTTATGCAACGACGTACGTCTTGATTTCTCAATAGAAGGGGGGAGGGGCCATACCCACAGAGGAAACAGAGGCGAGAGCCAGGCACCTAGGGTTCACCGCGGCTTTATTCATGACCTCCCCAAACAGGAGGCAGCACGACCCCGGCAGTGAGGAGAATGGGCAGAGAATGGGCAGAGAGCGGCTGCGGCCCCCAGCAAGGGGCTTGAGCAACCAAGTGATTCTTTAAGGCAAACTGCTTGAATTCAGCTGCTAAGTACTTCCCAAACATTGAATCATGTCAAGCAAACTTTAGAGCTGGTACTCACACCCCCTTCCAGTGTCAGAAAGAGAGTGCAGCGACCGTGGTGTTTGCCTGGCCCGCTGTGGAATCGGGCTGACTCCCCCGGCCCTCGGGAGCACTTCCTGAGTGCAGAGCCAGGAGCAAGCCCGAGCACTGCCGGATGTGGCCCCCAAACACACACAAGAACACCCCATTCCTCCTCTCCTGTCCAACACCCCGCCCCGCCCCCATACGCGTCAATATGGTTTGTCTCTAGAAATTTGCGTATTATAGAAAATTCATTTTAAGTTCAACCATACAATATTTGTCCTTCTATCTGGCTCAAAAAAACAAAAGCATAACTTTTTGTCTCAAGACAAAAACAAAACAAAAGCATAACTTTTTGTCTCAAGAGTTACCCAAACGGTCCCCCAAGCCCACCAAGAGAGATCCTGAGCCGAGTCAGGAGTACGCTTGGTGTAGCCAAACAAAAGGGAACGAAACAGACCCCGAAGATGCCATCCTTTTCACAACTGAGTAATATTCCATCCTATGGATACACGTTTTCTATATCCGCCAATCCGTGGGTTTTCAGTATCTGGCTGAGTGCATAAGGTGCACGGCACTGTCATGGCAATATCATTTTGGGTCTGTTTCCGGTTCTCTGGAGTTTCTACCGAGAAGCAGAAAGGCTGGGCCGCAGGGCAATCCTGTTCCTGTGCAGACAGCGGGCACACCGGCAGCTCACACTCAGAACAAGCTGCAGCTTCAGCACTGCGTTAGACTTTCTGAAGAAACGCCGGGCAGTGTTTGGGGCCTCCATCCAGCCCTTGCTCCGGAGGAGTCACTCCTGGCAGGACTGGGGGATCGAGGATGACGCCCGGCCTCAGCCCCCGGCCAGCCCCGTGCAAGGCAAGCACCCTACTTGCTCTACTCGGGCTCCAGTCCCCAAAACACCCCGCTCCCCACTTCGGATCGCCGCTAATGATTATAGTGAATGGAAGATGCAGACAAGCTGGAACAGTGACAGGCACGTTTCCGACAATAAATGTGACTTCCATTTTCAAAGAGACTTTTAAACCTAGCAACATACCTCAAAAATTCAAATACGCAAAACAACTGTGCCCCTGAAAATACCTGAGAAACAGTCAGAGACGCTCACAAAGGTACCCAAAAACTCTCACTCTCATGGCACCAGTTCTGTTTTTTTTTTTTGAGGGAGGGGTTGCCAGGCAACGCTCAGGAGGCCCGTGCACCTGCGTGGGGCCACTCTTCGGCCCTCAAGCTCTGCAGCAGGAGGGGACCACCAGCATCACTCAGTGCCTGAGGTCCCGCAGGCACCTAGGGGACGGGGAGACTGGGCGGAGGGGGAGCTCTGGCCCTCTGGCCTCTTCTCCCCTCGCCCCTACAGCCCTAACAAGCAAACACAACAATCAAGGCTGGTCACGCAACTGAGGGTGACACTATACAACTTGACATTACTGAGGCATTTTTAAGCGATAAAACCACATACGGATCAGCAATGTATTATTCGGTAAGAAAAGCAAGTCATGAGATACATCATGTGATTCTGTTGGTGACTTTTCACGTTTACTTCTTGAGCACTGACGGATGCACATACATGAATGCCGAGTCTTCAGGGCCCGAGAGGGCGGGGCAGGAAGGGCCCCTGCCTTCATGTGGTCAGCCTGGGCTGTCCCAGGAGTGAGCCCTGAGCACAGCCGGCTGTGGCCCCAGAAACATGCCCCCCCCCAAAAAAAAATGAAGGCGAGGAAACAAGACTGGTGCATCAATCTTTTGAGTAAGTATATCTGAATGTCAGACTTTCACTTTCTGATTTTAAAGATCACATTTATACCTGCTAGAAAAACACACTTACCCAATTTGGAAAAGAACTGACAACTACGCTTTACAAGGAACCAAAGAACCTGGATATTCTGTTTTAGAAGAGCTGATGAGAGGAGCCAGACAAGGCTCCCTCTGCGAGCCCGAGGGCCTGGGGGTCTGCAGCCTGCCCGGTACCGACTGGGGGTGGGGGGAGGGGTCATCAGCATTGGGCGAACCTGCTCTCAGAAGGCCCAGAGCCAAGGCCCACTCCTGCCAGCAGCCGTGACCCACTCACCCACCCAACACACTAATATGATTATAAAAAGGGGAAAATCCTCACAGGGCTGCTGCCAGAATGTGAGGAATCTACTATACATTAAAGTTCAAGTTCAAAACTCCAGTGTCGCGCACAAATCAATTTAGCTGATCAGACAACCCACATCTCTGACCCGACGGAGTGCTAAGCACTTAGCTTATGTACTTAGCCTGGCACTTAAGAAACGTTCGATCAGAAATCATACTTTCACCTCAAACTGCCATTATCAAAACTCACTTCAGTGTTTCTACATTTAGAACAGTTTATTCCCCCTCTTTGTCAACAAAATTATCATTTTCCTATTTCTCAAAACTTCAGTTGCCCACCGAAATTCTATGAATTTTTTTTTTCCCTTATAGCCTCCGCCTCCTTTTCCAACGACACCATCCTTATCGCAGAACCCGGAAACTTCCCTGCCGCCTGGTCTCTGGCCGCTGAGTCCCTCCCGAACCGTTTTCCTACTGACAGTTCCCCCCAGCACGCTCTCTCCCGGGTCCATGGAACCACCTCTCGACCGGCCACAGCCGTCCCAGATGACTCACAATTTTAATCACCACCGTTGCCTGTCCCTTTAAAAACTGCATGTGAATTTGCCAGATTTGGCACACAACAAAATTAGCACTGACATGACAGAAACAGACTTGTTTCCATTTGGAAACCCACCTCGCTACACTTTGCCATCTATAAACTAAACTGACTTTTACCTAGTCGATGAGACAGCAACAATGCGTCTCCAATGCCTTAAGAGTATACTGAGCACAATCACTACCAAAAAATTGTGGTGATTACCGCTTTGACCTCAAGGACTCCAAAGCCAGCCCATGTGTGTTGTTGCTTTGCTCTGGGGCCATACCCTGCATCGCTCAGGGATGCTCCCGGCTCGGCACTCGGGGATCAGGTCTGGCGGGACCCGGGCACTGTGAGAGGCAAAGCCCTCGCCGCTGACCCCTGCTGAGGACCAGGCGTCTTTCTTTAAAGCCACTTCCCGCTCGACTCCCGCGAAAACTTCCACGCCCTTCCGCTGGCCAGAGAAGGCTCCCCTGACCACTGACTCTCACTCATCCACACGGCTGCCCTATTGGCAGTTCCTGGAAAGTCTTCCGGTGGCTGGTCCCTAACAGTCTTTCCCTACCCCTGAGTTAGAGAGCTAGTGATACAAAACAGTAAAAATTGTTCCTTCTCAACTCCTTGGGACAGAGGCAGCTATAAATAAGGGGAAGGGGAAGAAAGCTGTACTTTTTGTTTTCATTTATTTTTGAAGTAAAGTCGCTCTTAACTTGAAGACATTTGCTAAGAGAGATGGCGGGAGAGATCACGAGCGTCTCCAGAGGGGGAAAAGCTGAGAACACATCTCAGATACGCCAGCAACCTCCAAGGCGAAGAACGAGCAACAAAGTGAAAGAAAGAAACCTCACATCACAGTCTGAGAGTGCAGAATGAGCCGGAGATGCACTTTCTAAAGTGCTGATACTACAGAGGTTGCATCCAGATCCACAGCAAGTCTCACGACGGGGAGTCCCAACTGGGCCCGCTCGAGAGAATCGATGAACAACGGGAGGACAGTGCTACAGTGCCACGTCCAGATACTCAATAACACAGGCGCTGCATTTTCCCTCACTCGCAGACAGAAAAGACCAAGAGATACTTAGGGGAGGGGGGGGTCTAGTTAATCAACTGGAAATCAACCTACAATAGCGTGATCACCAGAATCACGATTAGCAGAGTCATTCCAGTTTACTGTCAACGAGTCAAATCTATTCAAAATTGAGACTTATTTCTACATTGTGGGAAACAAAAGGGGAGAAGGGGAGGAACCCGGACCCCCCCCCCCCCGCCAGATGACTATTCGTCCTCCCAAACTGAACAGATACAGCCAGCATTCACTCCACTTGGCGGAATACCCCCCCCAAGCCAGGCGCAGAGTGATGCTGGGAACACAGATATCCTCAGGTTGCTTTTAAGTCCAGCGAACACCTGGAATCTGGACGACACTAGATGAAGGACAGAGAGAGTGAGAGAGGACTGTAAAAGAACTGTGTGGCCAGCAAACCTGCAAACTACAACTCAGAGCACGGGGCACGCTCACGGAGGGGTTCCCGGGTGCTGTACCAATTACAAGGTTGAAGGCGCATTATGGGGTGCCCACATTACCCGGGGACCGAACATCCGGCTTCCGTCCCTCCAAAGCAGATGACTCCCATTTCACCCTTCCCTTTCTCCGCACAGAAGAGAAAGAAGGGAAGAACAGGAGGTCGGCCGGTCATCTTCCCCTCACGACTGCCCAAAGAAACCACCGGTTCACACGGACCTGGCCCGCTGCCCCTTTCAGAAGGCCCTTCTCAGTGGCCCCTGGAAATCTGTCTTCAGCCGGCTCACAGAAAGTGTCCCCGGCCGAAGCTCCCAGCGCCCCACCAACAATGCCCGTCCCCAAGGCCCGTCACCACAGGGCAGCACTGCCCCGGGGGAAGCTGCCCCAGGGAACGTCCTAGGGCCAGGCAGGCCGCCTCAGGCGAGACAAGGAGGCAGGGATCTCACCAGGAGCAGTTCCTCGCCTCACATCTTCATCCTGGGCGGGAGGAGGCATCTGCCAGCGGACAAGCCTGCCGCGTAAAGAGGAGGTGACTCCGCTATTGCCACTTCTAAGAACCCGGGAACTACCAACTCAGCTCTGTGATCTCTGTGGCCAGTGTACATGGAAGCATTTTGTAAATTTTCAAGTCCAGCCATCTATAAAATCTATGTAAGTACATGACAAATAACTTGACGTGAGAAGAAACACCAGTGAACGGTCTTTGTTACCAAGTGTCTTGCTGCGAGAGCACGTAGCGTCCCATCACCGCAGCCAGGAGTTGTTCAAGTCACCGGCAAGAGCATCGTTAGACTTTGCCCTTCCCGAACAGTACTGGGCGTTCTGAGTAAAGTCTCATTCCCTGAAAGCCACGTTCCGCAGCAGTCACTCTTGCTGTATTTACGCGAGAGCAATGTCAGAGTTGCTATTTCCTTGAAAGGTGAGTCTTGATTTGCTCTTGCTACTCTTAATTTTATCTGATCTAGCGCAAGACTTTGTCAAGCTTTCCTTTCTAACAGACACGAAGAGTTAACTTAGTGAAAACAAAGTCACACAGCCAACGCTCATGACCTTCATTTGTTTGGGCTGAACCCACAGGGAAACGTGGGGCTATTTTTTTTTTTAAGTGCACATCTGGAATCTGCAATTCAGCAGTCAAGACAAACTTAGAAATATTAACAAGGGGTGGGGGGGGGGCTGGGATGGGACTTAATGACCCTCACACCAGTGTGAGGAGGCCCTAGGTTCTACCCGCCAGAGTAGGGGAGGAAAAAATGTAGCACTGACAGTATCTAGGACTAACAGGAACTAGAAAACTCAACCCCCCACAACGCTTCTGCAACATTCTATTCCAGCCCCTGAAAACAACTTGCATTGCAACTTGAACATTTTCAGAGTTTCATCCTTCCTGCAGCCGTGGACACACAGCTCCCGCCCGCTCCTGCGCCCACCTCCAGAGGGAAGCAGGCGGGCCCGCAGGGTCAGTCTCACCTGGAGGGAGTGGCCAGTTGCTTTCCAGGCTTTTTACTAGACGACTAGACAAGGCGGCGGCGTGTTTGGACACCCAGGGGTGTAGACAGATGAGTTTCCTACAGTGGAGCAAAAGCTCCCCGCCGGAACCCGAACCCCGAACCCGAACCCCCAACCGCCCGGGCAGCACCCCCTCGCCTCCCGCCAGGGTGCCCCCATCTCAGATCCTCCTGCAGGCCGCGCTCCCTCCCCCACTTCTCCTGCGACTTCATTAAAAAAAAAAAACCGCATCAATGAGGCTTTCGTCCCGGGCTGCCTGGGAAAAGTTTCGATCCTACAACCTCCTTTTTCCTAGAATGATTACGTAAATGTGGGTTTGGTTTCTCCACTGCAGAAATCCCAGCGATTAACGGCAGTGCACGGGGGCACATCACAGTGGGTACAAAACTAAGTGCAGGCCCAGAGTCAGAGCACCACGGGTTCGCAGGGCAGGGCACCACTCCTTTATAAAGAGCCACACACACACACACACACACACAGAGAATCACATCTAGGGCAGAGCACTACTCCTTTATAAAACACACACACACACATACACACTCACACACAGAATCACATCCCAGGGCAGAGCACCACTCCTTTGTAAACACACACACATACAAACACACAGAGTCACATCCTAGGGCAGAGCACCACTGCACACACACACACACACACACACACAGAGTCACATCCCAGGGCAGAGTACCACTCCTTTATAAAACACACAAACACACACACAAAGTCACATCCCAGAGCAGTGTACCACTTTGTAAACACACACACACACACACTCATACACACACAGAGTCACATGCCAGGCCAGAGCAGCACTCCTTTGTGAACACACACACACACACTTACACACAGTCACATCCCAGGGCAGAGCAGCACTCCTTTATAAAACACACAAACACACACACAAAGTCACATCCCAGAGCAGTGTACCACTTTGTAAACACACACACACACATACACTCATACACACACAGAGTCACATGCCAGGGCAGAGCACCACTCCTTTGTGAACACACACACACACACACACACACACTTACACACAGTCAGATCCCAGGGCAGAGCAGCACTCCTTTGTGTGTACACACACACAGAGTGACATCCCAGGGCTGCGCACCACTTTGTAAACACACACAGGCACCCCGAGTCACATCCCAGGGCTGCGCACCACCCACCCCTCCGCGCACACACGCAGGCAGGCAGACCCCGGCCCGGCCAGGGGGACCCGCGGCAGGCGACGCCCGGCTCGGCCGCCCCCGGGACGCGCGGCTCAGGGCGCCCGAAAGACCCGACCCGACCCGGACCGGACCCGAAGCGACTCCGGCGGGCCGAGCCACGGGGTCCCCGCGCGGCTGAGTCACCGGGCGCCCGCGACCACCCCGCGCCCGCCCCGCGCCCGGCCCCGGCCCCGAGCCCGGCCCCGAGCCCGACCGGCCCCCGCCCTGACCCTGACCCCGGCCCTGACCCCGACTCCGGGCCCCGACCCCTCGCCCCCTGACCTCCTGGCCCCTGACCCCGTGACCCCCCGCGCCCCGCCCGCCCGCCCCCCCCCCCGCACTCACCGGGCGGCGCGGCGGCCCCGAGCCCGGGCGGCGGCAGGGCCCGCGGCGCCCGGCACCATCTCCGCCCGCCGGCCCGGGAGCGGCGAGCAGGCGCGCGGGCCGGGCCGGCCGGGGCAGGCGCGGGGGCAGGGCGAGGGCCGCGGCGAGGGGCAGCCCGGGCGGGCCGGGGTCGCAGGGCCGCGGGTTTGTTATTGTCGACGCCGGGCCGGGCCCGCGGAGCATGCCGGGAGCGCGGGGAGGGGCGCGCGCCGGAAGCCCGCGGCCGCCGGGAAGGGGCGCGCCCGCCAGGCCCCGCCCCGGGCCCGCCAGGCCCCGCCCCGCCCTCTTGGCCCCGCCCCCGCCCCGCCCCGCCCGGCCGCGCGTCCTCCCCGAGACTCCGCCCCCGGCCCCGCCCCGCCCGGCCGCGCGTCCTCCCCGAGACTCCGCCCCCGGCCCCGCCCCGGCCCCGCCGCGCGTCGCCCTGTGGCCCCGCCCCGGCCCCGCCCCCGGCCGGCCGCGTCCTCCCGCGACCCCGCGCCCGCCGCCGCTGGCCGCCGGCGCCCCAAGGAGACGGTGCCCTTCGCGGCCCCGGGGCGGCCCCAGCCCCCGGCCGCTGCCCCCTCGGGCCGGCCCGGCGCCGCCGCGGGGGCCCCAGCGCCGGGCGGGCGGGCGGGCGGGGCCGCGGGCCGGGACTCGGGTCGTCGGCCCTGCAAGGCACTGACACCCGGGCACGGACGGGCACACACACACACACACACACACACACTCGCACAGGCACACACAAGCATGCATACAGGCTCACACCCAGACACAATCGCACACTCATGCACACAGGCGCACAGGCACACACATGGGCACGGACAGGCACACACGCACAGGCACACACACGCACACACACGCACACATGTGCCGCACACACACTTGGTCAAGCACACAGGCGCACACACGCACACACAGTATCTGGGATTGAACCCGGGCATGCAAGGGAACAGGAGACGGAGGAGGTGAGAAGTGTCACCACCAGCACACACACACACACAGGCACACACGTGCTTGCTGCCTCTGGGATTAGCCCCGGCTGCGGCACCCAGGGGTGCTGTCCCCCCCCCCCCGGGCTGTCCCCCACTGCCCCCTCCCAGAACTCGCCCCGGGAAACTCTGGGGCATCTTTCTCCAGCGACCTACAGTCGCGACTCCTCAGGCCAGACTGCGTCCCACCCACTCTACAGTTTTGTCCCTTAGGTTTCAGGCGTGGGGGTCCAGGGGCCCCTCCAGGGATCGGCCTTGGCACCCCCTCCCCAGCCCGCCCCGCCTGGACGGAGCCCCCTGAGACGACTGGCTGCGGGTCGGGCCGGACTCCGACATGCAGTCGGCACGTGGGCAGTGCCAAGCCTTGACTTGGGCTTTTGTAAATAGAGCATTTGCAGTTGTTTTACCTCGGGCCCTTCAAGCTATTTCTTCTTTCCTTGGGTCATCTTTCACATTTTCGAGTGATTATTCTCTCAGTGCAAATGATGCCCCAAAGGGGTTCATCAGAGAAGAGATTATTTCATGCAAGTATATTGATAGACTTACAGTGAGAAGAGAAAAAAAAAGATTTTCTTTAGTAGGAGTATGTAGGATATGTACAGTTCAATGCCGTAGAGTACTTCAGTTCTGATCTTTAAAATCCTGTTTTTCCTCTCAGTTTAGGCTTCTCGAGAACCCCTTCCCTAAAGGAACTACTGAAGCCAAGATTCCTACATCTTCCTTAGATGTCCTGCATCCATCCTGGTATCTGCTTCCGCCCTTCGCCTTGCTGTTTTCCCCTTTCTCATTTCCTCAGGAGGCATGTTCTTCCCCCTTGCTCATCTCTGACCCTCTGTCTCTGCAAGGGGATGGGGTGCATGCCTGCTGGGCTTAGCCTCTGTCCACGCCCCCCACCCCAGGACCACCCTGTCTCCTGCTGAAGAAACCTTCACCTCCCTAAAGGCCGGAGGTCCTTAACTTCCAACTTCTAAATAATAGTTACAGTTCACACTTCACCTGCTTCTCTTGCATTATCATATAGCTACAATTTTTCCCCCTCACTGAATCCATTAAGAGCAGTAATTCATTTTTCATTTTCTGGAACCGTGTTAGAGACCTTGGCACATAGGTAGCAATCAGCAATTTTAAAAAGTTCGTTGAATGTGTTGATTTCTACTAGTGTGTCAAGACCTGTCCAATACGTAAGTTACTGTGAAAAATTCTTGCCTTCCGCTATTTCAGGGAACTCTTAAAAAATCACGGTAGTACTGTGTATGTGCCACTGAATTCTTTCCTTTACCCAGAATATGTCAGGATCTGGGGAAGACAGGGGCCCATTTCTTCGTTTTGCTAACTCGCCCAGATGTGTTATTTCATTCCACATATACACTAGCTCGTTCTCACAACAGTTGTCATCGTCCCGATTTTCTTTTAGGTTACACGCACACAGCCAGTAACCACTATTGATGTCATTTGACTTTATT